TGTACGATGGGCGTGTCTACACGCCCATCGTACATAGGAGTTTAACATGGGAACATACGCTTTAACATGACCCCCCCTTCCCCCTAGGCGTGCGTATGTACTTTGTGGATCACGCCATAGTATTTCTCCACACTTTTCACTTTTACCCTATCATTGAGAGCACACATACACTTTGAGTGCATGTATATGCTCTGGCAAATGTCCCTTGCAATTAGTGGACATTAATGTGCTGAACAATTATCTCATTGCCTAATGTGCTAAATGTAAATGAATTCGTAATATCGCTATAATTAAGAAGATTCTTGCGCTCGGAATCGGTTGCAATAAAATGGCAAAATTCTTGGCGTATATCAAGAATCTCTTCAGGAATTGTTTTATGACAACAATCTTACTGTTATCATAATCTGTGAATTCATTACATTAATGCAAATGCACACACTTACATACATACCATCTCGCAATCTCTCAGAGAGCACCGGGAGATTGTATGCATGAAAATAGCACATTAGTAAAGCAATTATTAAATGGATTCTTGCGTCTGACATGTGATTCCCGTTGCATTTGATAGCACGACCCGGAAGAGGACACAAACTGTACGCCCGGAGGAGAGAACGGGAATTACATAATGTTCGCGAGGGCTACGTCTGGGGACAAGAGGAACAACAATAAGTTCAGCCCCTGTAGTCTTAAGAGTATTAACGCCGTACTCAATACCAAAGCCAAGAGCGTGAAGGGATGCTTTCAAGGTATCCGTTATTTAACACTATATTCTTTATGTTAAATATTTATTAAGAATATTCTTCATCTCCACTACTATTTACTCTATACTCCAGTCGTTACACTCTGTTCTTAATATCAATTTTGCTGTAATTACAACAGAAAAACTGTCATTAAATGGGATTATAATATAATGTGCATGTCATTATTATATAATTTTAATCGCAATACCAGTAATGGATGAACACTTAGATAGTATGACACACTTTCTCACCCAATCTGTAACTCTATTTATTTCTCACTCTATTAAAGACAGATACCATTAAATGATAAACTCGTTGGGTATTGATTAATACTTTAAGTTTTTACTTAAACAATGGGAATAGAGAGCGCAAAAAATGATTATCAAGTCGTTTATCATTTACTCTTTTTCTTGGGATCCAATAATTAATGTCCAAATCTTTTTGCCTTTTTTTGCTTTCATCTCATGTGCGATAAGAACCGCAAGACTCCATCTGTGGCAACGAAGTGGTCGAGACGGGCGAGGAGTGTGACTGCGGTTGGGAAGAGGACTGCAAAGAGCCCTGTTGTTACCCCATGAGAACCAACCCACCCCACGATGAGGTTCCCTGCAGGTGCGAACCATTATTATCGCCATTAATGTCTTACCCGTACCATTAGTATAATCCCTTTTCATAATAGTCTTATTTTTATTAATTCAGTCGTTGTAGTTTATTTAGTATATTTTATTTATTACTTTTTTGTTTGAGCATTATTTCACCATTTTATGAATTTATTTATATAACCTTTTCAAAAAAGCAAATTATTTTACTGTTTTTTGATTGATTATATTTCTCATGCTTTTCAATTTAAACCATAGGCTTCGCCCGAATGTCATCTGTAGGTATGTATACATTTGAAGTCATTTTTATGAATAATTAAATTTATATATTTCTGTTTTATCGATTGGTCTCTCTCTCTCTCTCTCTCTCTCATTTGTGTGCCTTATTTATCGTAAAAGAGATGGACTAAAAAAGAAATATAAAATAAATAAAAACTAAAAGGAAAATATGACACAAGGAATAACTTATATAATTTCTTTACTTAAAAAGTAGGATATATTTTAAATTTTAGTTTTGCGATAACTTTTTATGTATTGAAGTGCTTCTGAGAATTGTATTAAATGTATACTTTTGTACACAATATACAGTATATACGCGAATGCAGTATATACGCCATCACAAAATATCTACTTGCACCAAAAATACTGTATATATAATATCAATAAATAAAATAACAATTTCTTATTTTTGTTTAATGCAAATACTGAGCGAGAAATATCCAAACAGAAATGTGTGTAAACTAAATGTATTGCCGCACTTTGTTAGCACAACACCATTCACTTCCATCACGAAAATACAAAAACAAAATCCAAACTATTTTCGTTTACGATTAGCTATTTCTCTGAATACACAGCCTTTTCATAGCGATTCCTCGCCTAATATATCAATTCTCGCGCATTATATACGCGAGTCTCGAGTTAATTGAGATTTGATTGAACAGTTTGAAGACTTACGCCATTCTTCTCGCAGACGCCGCCGGCATTCTTGAGGTCACCCGTCCAGGCGAGGCCCAGAGTGCCGCCCTCGAAGTCCCGGTATGTGAACATATAGGCCAAGCAGAAGGCGTCGTAGTCCTCCTCCGAGAAGAGCTCCAGAAATTTCTCCACCCCGTAGTTACTCGGGTACCTGTACTCCGGGTCCTTTAACGCGTCGCCCGTATGCACTTTGATGCGCTTTATTAGGAATGATATATTGTCCGATCGGCCATCCTGGTCAAAATCTGTTAAATGTATGTGCGATTAGTTATGTCATATAACTT